GTGGACGTGTGAGGGGGGGACCTTTTAAGGGTGTCCCATGGGGCAAAGCCCATGTAGTGCCTTAGGCACCTGGCGCCAGCACCAGATGTAAAATAGGTGGGCCATCACTTTGTCTCTAACATCCTCCTCCTGCAAGGGAACAAGGATTAGTCAGAGCCTCAGACACTCCCGGCAACGAAGGGTAATAACAGCACCCGGAGCCAGCAAAATTTCCACCCAACCCCCAAGATGAAGTCTTGTCTCCTCTATAGTGACCTCCAACCCCACTCCCACCATTGCAGAGTGACCTCCTCCCCCATTCCTCTCAGTCCCCCCATGAGAGCTGTTCTATCTCCAAACCCATCTGGGGAAGCAGCTCAGCTCCCCAGAATCCTCTCAGCCACCCCTCCCGCTCCAGCTGTGGGTTTGGGAGGCTTTTGGCAGCAGTGAAGTGGGGTGAGAGGAAGTTGACACCTTTCCCCAAGTGACCCCGGGTACTTATAGTGAAGTCATGGAGGGTAGCTCTGGTGAACGGGTCACATGGGCAGCCTCTGCTAACCGAATCCTCCAGTTCCCCCAGAACAGGCCCAGCCCAGCCAGCAGCAGGGCAAGCTTTCCTCGGCCCATGTGCTTGAGCCTGGTTAGTCTTCGTGGCCCTTTCAATCCTTGGCCTCCAAGGCTGCCAGTGACACTAGATAACATGGACACTAGACTTCTAGGAACCAGCCTGAGGCCCTGAGAAGAAGAAAGGTTTGCAGAGATCACTAGGGGAGTTTTCAACCCCTTGCATGAGCAATGGTAGCTTGTCCTGTTGATGTGATGCCTCTTATGAAATAGCCTTGCTGGAGAGCTGGGTCCAAATTGCTTTGAGCTACTCAGGGGACAAGCTGGCACCTAACAATGGCACCTGCCATGATTAATTCATCTCCTTTCTCCCAGGTCAGCGAACGGGAATGGGATGGCAGTGACTTTCCATGGCCTGGAGGTGAAAGACCCTGGGTCACTCCCCAAAACTAGAATAATCCTTCTCTGGTTACCTCGTTCCCTATCAGATGGCTGGCTTTCCCCATGATGGAAAAGGCTAGGAACAGCCCAGCCTGGCTGACATGTAGCTGGGGGTCGTGGATGGCCATTAGTGCCGCCTGCAGGAAGGATCTTCTCTGGCCTTCTGAGAAGATCTCTCTGAAGACCTAAAACCAACAGTACCAGAGCCCTTGGCAATTGCCCAGAACCAGGCTCCAAATCCCTCTAGTGGCTCATGTGGAGAGTCAGAGTCCTGCTGCAGCCCGGGCAGCTAATTCCCCTTGAGGACCTTTCCCTGCCTGGTGCTGGCTGCCCGAGCACCGGGACAGAGGGCCACCCAGAGCTCCGAGGCTGTGGGAGTGGCGACTGCGCTGCCTGGAGCCCTGGAGCTGGGGGCGCGGCAACCATGCTGCCTGGCCACCCGACCCCTGGGGTGCAGCCACCACACTGCCTGGCCACCCGGAGCTGGGGGCATGGCGACCGTGCTGCCTGGTCACCCAGAGCTCCGAGGCTGGGGGGCACGGTGACTGCACTGCTCGGCCACCTGCAGCCCCAGGGCCCGCAGCCCCAATGTTCCCAGCCCTGGTGCTGCAGCGCGCTGGGGCCTTGCCCTCCCAGCCGTCCGGAGCTGGGGGGGCCATGGTGGGGGTGCTTTGGGCTCCTGAGGGGGAGGAGGAGGCAGAAGGGGAGGGGCTGGGGGTTAGCCTCCCCAGGTGGCCGGGTCACCGGCCGCTTATGGTGTAGCTCCAAGAACTGATCCCTGCAGGACCCTACTAGAAAGACACCTGCTCGACAATGATTCCTTATTTACAATTACATTTTGAAACAGTTACTAAGGGAAAGAGGCCTAGGTGGGACATTTTTCTGCCAATTTAACCTGTATTTTCCAAGCCTAGAGCTCGGATGGCAATGTTTGGATCAGACTGAACAGGTTCCCAACTTCACTGAGAATCTTAGCTTCTACACAGGTGATGTCTGTTTTCTACAAAATCAACATGGAAAGAAGAAAACTCCCAAAGAAGCTCCTCCTTAGCACTCAGGTGTGTGACCACAAATCCTCTCTTAGTCCTCAAGGAGAGACCGCGAGAAGGAGGCTTGCTTCAGCAAAGCTACAAGGGTCTCCGAGGTGCCCCCTACCCTGCATCCCTCTCCTGCCTGGCTGATGTCAAGGGAGCTCTGTGAGGTCACAGCCTCCTCACCACCTTTGTGCCCAATAGGCTGAGTTCCTGTCAAAGGCCCTTGTGAAGTCACTGCCACATCCACTTCTCCCTTGCAGGGCTGATGTCTGTCCCTGGCTAGCCCGGTGGAATGTTTGAGCTATTGATTCTGGGGAGCAAGCAGGCTACCCAGTAAAATAGCAGAGTCTATTCCTTACCCTACACTGAATTTTTCATAGATTCATAGATTGTGAGGCCATTAGATCTCCTAATCAGGCCTCTATTTCACAGGCCATGAATTTCACACATTTCCCCCCATATTAAGCCCAATAGCTTGTTTCACTAAAACACACCTTCCAGAAAGACAACCAGGTGTGATGTGAGGCCATCAGGAAACAGAGAATTCACCTCTTCCCTCAGTAATTTGTTTCAGTGATTAATCACCTTCACTGTTAAAAATTTATGCCTTACTTCTAATTTGAATTTCTCTGGCTTCAGCTGGCAGCCGTTGGTTCTTGTTGTGCCTTTTAGCTAGAATGAAGAACACTTTGGTACTCAATATCTTCCCTCCATGAAGATATCTATAGGCCATAATCAAGTCACCTCTCAATCTTCTTCTATAGCTAGATCTTGAGATCTACTTGCCTCGAGACATGTGGTTCAGGGGTTTCAGTGTGGACAATAGGGAGCTGGGGCAGACCTAGACATGCGTAGCGGCTGTAGTGCAAACTTACCCTAAGTGGCAGAAAGCCTTATATCCAATTTTCCATATAGGGCACATGACTAGTAGCAGATATGTGACCTACACCTACAGCTCTAAGTTTTGAAAGACTGTAAGATATGGACTAGGACATGTGTGTGCACCCCAGGGCCACTGCCCTGTTAAACTAGGATTAAAGGAAGTGACAACGAACACACGTAGTGAAGTTTAGTTGCACAAGCCAAATAAATCCTGCTCCTGGAAGCTGCCAGCTCCTCTGGCAAAAATGCTGGAATTTCTGAATTTCATAAGAAAGGTGGAGGAATTAGTGAAGTATTCCAGGTGCTGCACCAAGTTTCCCGAAGAGTGAAAGGCAGCCCCCAAGTCCACAGGTTGGCAAGGCAATGGAGAACACCCCTGCTCCTTTTGCATCACAGGCTTCTTACAGACTTGGATTCAACTATGTGAAGGACCTTCTTTCTGCTTCTTATCCTTCCCAGCATCTGCAATCCTGCTCAAGCCAGCTCTTAATGGTATGGCCAGCTTGCTTTAAGTCAATGGGTAACAGGGGATTTGCATATTAGCCATTAATCTGTTTTAATAAAAATATCGAAGGCTATTCCATAGGTTCTATAGTACTATGGAATTGCCAGCATTGTAGCTATATTTTAACTGATTTTATTTTTATCCCACCTTGTTTTCTGAACAGTTCAATAGGGCCCCCAAACACGTTAGCGTAAGAGGACTTTTTTTAACAACATTCTTGGAAAGACTTGTATTCAAAATAAATAGAACAAAAGTAATGTAATTTTTTCATAATTCATTTTTTCAGTTATAGTACTTTATATATTGCTAGTCATGATAATTACCATGTCTAGATACTATAGATGATAAACTTTTTAAGTACTCATAAAAGTATAGCAAATACTTCTGCAGAATTGCACTTTGTGTACACATATATGTCTGCATGGAAACTGTATTATAATCTTATTGGGATCTAAGCCATGTCTGTTTACGTAAATAAAGCAGTGAGTACACTGTTGGTATTCAGTAAATAAGAGCAGTATGCTACTATCAGCAATTTTTAAACTTCCACACAGAGCAGAACCAAAACAGAAGAGGAACATGTTGAACTCAGGAAAAAAGGTTTTTTAATAAATAAAATATAATCAGAAATGTGGTTTTGGGAAGATGAAAAAAAATGTATCAAACAGTTTTAATTAAAGGCTACAAATTATTGAACAAACCATCCAATAAAACTTTCAGGAAACAAAACAATTACAGTATTCCCCAAATCCGTGTTTGCTTTATAAATATATATACATATATGCAAAGAAATATAAGGGGGAAAATCACTTTTCATTAAAGAAAGGAATAGCTCAGTCTCTGTGTACTCAAAGCATATATAATTAGTTTAGCTCCTGAAGACCTAATTCACCATTTCATTCTGGTAAATTATCTCCTGTGAGAAAGAGAAACACTACATGAATCTTTGGAGATGATTTCAACTTTAAAGGAAAATTGTTTGTTTCTTATTAAAAACTCTTCTCTTTATATATAATCTTATTAGAGAAGTGACTCAAATAATTTTAAGCTTATGATTAAGGCTATGTTTTAGTCATGGTATTTTTAGTAAAAGTCATAGACAGGTCATGGGAAGTAAACAAAAATTTATTGCCTGTGACCAGTCCATGACTTGTACTATATACCCTGGACTAAATATTGGGGGGGTGCAGCCCGGGAATGCTGGAGGTGCTGCAGGGGGCACCATTGGTGCTGGGGTGGGGGGTAGGAGGCGGTGCACAGCCTGGGACCCACATTGATGCTGGTGGGCAGGTAGCGGCGTGCAACCCAGGACCCCCATTGGTGGTGGTGGGGATTGGCGGGGCTGGCAGGCTCCCTACCTGGCTCTGCGCCTCCCCGGAAGTGGCAACATCCCACCCACCTCAGCTCCTAGGCAGAAGCATGGCCAGGCAGCTCTGTGCGCTGCCTGTCCCAAGTGCTGGCTCTGCAGCTCCCTTTGGCCAGGAACCGCAGCCAATGGGAGCGGGGGTGGTGTCTGCAGGCAGAGGCAGAGCACAGAGCTGCCTGGCCACACCTCCACCTAGGAGCTGAGGGATGTCACCACTTCTGGGGAGCCCCCAAGGAAAGTGCCACCCAGAGCCCTCACTCCCTCCCCGACGGTGCAGCTGCAGAAGTCATGGAGGTCCCACAAAGTCACAGAATCTGTGACTTCCGTGACCTCCATGACAAACTCGCAGCCTTATGTATGATGATGTTCATGTGCCACAAATAAACATATTGCTAAACTGTTATCACTTTAATTTTCATTAAAGTTAAGCTTCCTAATTTTATAAAATGGTGGAACTGCAGTTCAGTTTCTTAGAATGAGGGGAATGTGTAAAGCTCCTTATTCAAGACAGCAATTCTTGCTTTTTTAATGTATCTGGCATTTCCCTTCCTTCCTAGTAGTCATCTTTTTAATGAACATAAAGTGTGGTGAAATAGCAGTTCCCACCTAAGATAATTTGCTTGTTATACTGGATACTTCTTAAGACCCTCAAAAACTAGAAGTAACCTTGATGTCAAGATTAAGAAAAGTAACTCAAAGGTATTAAATCGTATATACAAAAAAGCTTAGGAAATGTGAGTCCTGCTAAATGTATATATAATGTACAGAGAGTTAACATTTTTGTGAAAAGCCAGTATTTGTAAATGCACTGAAGTGCACAGCCTTCTCAAACCAATTGCAAAGAAAATCCTTTACGTACTTTTGATAGATAACATCAAAATCTGACCCTTCCAAAAAGAAGGGATGCGGGGAGAGCAGGGGGAAGAGTATATATTGAGTAAAGCTATATTGCAAGTTATTTATTTTTATTATTGCCTTTGTTTCTCTCCCAAGTCAGTGGCTGAAGCACCCTTCTTAAACAAAGAATAGGTATCATTTGACATTGTAAGTTTATGTACAACACGTGTTTTGGACTTAGCTCAACAAGTGACTATCAACTATCTAGTGATAATGTTTTCTCACAGGTGATTTACCATTTTTTTTTATTTGAGAACCTTAATATGCCAGTTTGTCCTGATTGTATGATTATGTATTTTGTGTTTTTCTGAGGCAGATCACAGGTGATATGGGTCAGTACAAGCAAGCAAGAAGTTAACATAATAAATCTGTGTGTCCTGTAGTCATTATTTTATGTTACTTGAAATCCTACTGTTGCTGGCAAAGGACTTGGCTTAAAGGTGATAATTTGCTGGAGATGGTCACTTCTTCTACTGCATAGTTAGAAATCAGTCTTATATTCTAATAATGGGGATGTGATAGTGATGGTCATCCTCAGTCAGAAGAGAGACTTCCTGCCAGTCCCTGTGATACTCCTCTGGATAGTTTACTTGAAACTCTTCAGTGTTAAACTTATACAGTCTGTAGACTCTTATATTTACTTCAAGTAAATATCCAAGAAGAAACATTTCAACCTAAGGGGGAAAAAAGATGTAAACATTTGTTTATAGATTTATAAGAAGGAAACTGCGGGAAAAAACATCCTACACTTTAATCATGCTCTGATGTTTAGTGTAAGTCATTTAACTTGTTTAGTTGTGTAATAAGAAGAGTGGACTAGGAATTACAACCACAGGAATTTCCCACAACCACAGCAGAGAAGTACCCAAAGGAGATCTTTCTCAGAAGGGCAAATATACTTTCTGAAGTGGCCTTTCTGGAAAGCTTCTATTAAAAAAACAAAAACAAAAAAACAGGTGCAAAAGATGAAACAGGTCAAACATGCAGGGTATTGTCATCTAAAAATCATGTTATTTTACATATTTTACAGTGGTATCACTGCTTTTTGTAATTTGTATAAATAATTCCCCAAGACATTTTATTTTGGAGAAACTTAAAAGTCCCCCCCCCCTCCGTTTTTAACTGCTTTTTCTTCTACGAAAAAATTGATTTTTTCCTTCCAAACAAAATAATTCTATCGTGGATGATGTATTAAATAGAGCTGAGCAAATAGCTGATTTTTGGAATCAGTGACTGAACTGAAAAAAAAAAAATCAGCGTCAAAACAAAACTAAGGTTTTGTTTTGTTTTTTCTTCTCACCAAAAAGAGAAAGAAAAATTCTTTTGGGTCAAACAAACTGTTTAGAAAATGTTGATTAGAAATGACATTTTGTTCAGAAAACATCAAGACAGTTCATTTTTAACAGGTCAAAACAAAATGATTTGATATTTCCAAACTGTGTCTTCCAGTTTCTGTCTGGCTGAAACTATTTGCAAATTCAGGTAGAATTTGGCGAACAGCTTAGGTGCGCTAAAAACAATGCATTTTTCACCCACCCTGGTATTAAAGTATACTAGGAACATCAAATCAATGAATAAGAACTCAAAAGTATTCCCAAACCCTAATCCTTCAGAAAACACAGACTGCTAGAACTCATTTTTTATTCACACCATTACCTGCTCCAGACCACCCGTGTCCCCTATGGAATTCAGATGATTCATCATAAAACTCAAAGGGTCAGATGACGTATCACGAGCAAAAAGGAGGCTAAAAAGGACGGGTACACGTTTCTGCTCATTCTTCATCTGTTCATAGGCTTCCACAACTTGGTAAAGCATGATGAATTTTATAGCCTCATACAGCTTATATTCCTTGTTTTCATCGGAGAAAAGGATATTGCACATGTTTCCTCTTTCGTCGTGGTCTTTAACACCACTTATTTCAGTCCACTACAAAGCATACACAAGAAATTCAAATCAGCGGCTTAACTCATCACTAATAAATGTTTTTGTGTTATTTTTTTAATGGAAACTATTTTTGACAAGGATTAAAAAAAGAATAATCACTGGGTATCAATAACCATTATCATAACTAAAGTAAAAATAAATGGAAGAACTGAATGGCTTTTAGAGATTGGCAATGGAACTCAAAGTCTTTCATGTCATAATTTTGAATCCACCAGAGGTTGTTAGTTACAAAAAATAAAGGGACAATACCAGAACTATTAGTTTTGAGGCTCGATCCCCCACTGAGTCTATGAAACTGATTTGATCAGGAGGGTCAAAAGACCAAAACTGATTAATAAAGAACTCTGTCAGCATTTAAAAGGACACTCTCTTTGGAATGTAGAGTGAAATCAGACTGAAAAAACATTCACAGAGACCAGTGGCCATGCCTGAAAACAGATGTGCCTAAATTGCCATTATGGAATGGTAGCAAGTTGGGTAAGACAGTGTTTGTTGTTTTAAACTCTTCCCCCCTCCAATGCTTAATTCTAGTTGTATACTTTGCTTTTAAAAGGCTGTTGGTCACTGTATCATTGATCACAGGTTCCCAAAGGGAAGAAACACAGGTGTCTGAGGTCTCTAAAGATATAAGATAATTTGCAGGTAAACCAAGACAAAAAGATATACAGTAGAATTAAAAATGAACATGTAAAGGCCTAAATAGTGATGATCAACAGCTACAGGGACATACTTATGCCCATACTTAAATCCAGTACATACCACTAACATCTAACAGATTGCACAGGAGCTATGTTTTGAGCAGAAAGCAAATACTTCTGTGACAGTAAATGATTTTCCTTTTCAGTCTCAGTCCTCCCTTCTAACGTTTTTTTCCATTTCCTAAATATTCACCTGTGTCTTTAATGTTTCCATACATTTACGTAATTTTCCAAATACGTTGGCGCCTGTGTATCTTTCTGGTCCAAAACTATATTGCTGAATCCAGTTGCAGCCTTGTGAATACAGAAGCTTTTCAGGGAGCTATAATAATATAATAGGGGAGAGATCACTATTGTAACAACAAGCAGAATATCCTATTGTAATTAATTTAGGTATAGCGAAGATATGTTTTAAATGATAAACCACATCCTGAATAAGACTAAAACCGAGCCAACAATTTTAAAAAAGGAAAGGTTATTTACTCTGCGATAACTGGAGATTCTATGAGATGTATTGATGTGTAGTGCACTTTAGGTGCTCATGAGCTCCATCTGCCTAGAACCAGAGAATTCTTTCTAGGGGTGTCTGCTTGGTCCGTGTATGTGCCCACTCCCTCCTTATGCTCCTCACCAAGGGTATAAAATGGGCCGCTGAACCACCCCCATCTCAGGTCCTTCTCCACTGCAAGGTTCCACAATGGATTCGAGGCAGTGGGAATAGAGGGTGAGTGGTGTATGACACATACGAGCATTTCAAAGAACTCCAATTACTACAAGGTGAGTAATCTTTCCTTCTTCTTCGAGTACTTGTCATTTTGTATGGTGCACCTCAGATGATTTACAACCAGAGTCCCTCCCAAGGAGGTGGATGCCCGCAGCCTTGCACCACTACAGAATGCAGGACTGGCCTAGCCTGGGAGGCATCCAAGTCAGATGCTTGCACCAGAGCATGGTGCCTCACAGAGATGTATACCAAGCCCCAGGTCGCTGCTCTGTAGATGTCAACGATCCTTGAGTGAGGCTATCCAAGCTGCCTGGGCTTTTGTCAAATGTGTTATTATACTGCCCCCAAGAGGGATCTCATTCAGCTTGTAGCAGAGTACCGTGCAGCCTGAGATCCACTTTGACAGTCTCTGGAGGAAATGGCTTTTCCCATCATCCTCTCTGCAAATGAGACGAAGAGTCTAGGTAACTTCTAGAACTGCTGTGCCCTCTACAGGTAAAAAGCAAGAGCTCTATGGGCATCCCAGGAGTGCCACTTCGCCTCTTCCTTTGTGGCGTGTGGCTTGGGGGAGAACATAGGTGACTGGATGCTTTGGTTGATGTGAAAGTCAAACCTCATGTGTAGTCTCATGGATACTTTGTCCTTGTGTTATACTGCGTGGGGGATCTGCCATGAGTACCCCTAGTGCCCCTTCTTGTCTGACATTATAGTGACCAGAAACTCCACCTTTATGGAAAGGTGCTGCAGGGAGCACGAAGCCAGTGGCTCAAACACTAACCCCCTCAGACTGAATAAGACCAAGCGTAAGCCCCAGGCTGCCGCAGGCTTCATCATGGGAGGGAAGTCCCTAACTAAAACCTGCAGGAACTGGAATGTAAACGGGTGTGAGAGAACAGTGTAGCTGCCCACTGTCAGGTGGAATCTCAGAGAGCTGAGGGACAGCCTGAGGATTTAGAAGCTAACAGGTAGTCCAACATGTCTGGCACCCCTGAATGCAAGGGGGAAATTCGCGGTTGATCATATTACATCAGAAACCTCTTCCATTTTATAGTGTAGCACCTCCTGGTAGAGTTTTCCTACAGTTACTCTGTAAGGTATGCACGTCAGCCAAACAAACTCTCTTTAGGCTCAACATCCATCCAAATACCACACCCTCAGGGGCAGCATGGATATGGGTTGGCGAGTCCTCCCATCATCCTGCGTCAAGAGGTCTCATATCACGGGAGTGGAGAGGACCCCGAGCAAAAAAGTGCAACAGAGTATGGGGTACAAAAACTGACAAGGCCACCCCAATGCCATGAGAATGACTTGCACCTTGTCCTGCCTGATCTTTCTTAAGTAACCGTGATCACAGAGGGATCGGGGGAAACACATACTTCAGAGCCTCCAAGCATCACATGAGGAAAATGTCACCTAGAGAGCCTGAGCTGCAACCCCTCTGTGGAGCAGAACTCCCTGCACTTCTTGTTCAGATCTGACACAAACAAGTCTGTTATTAGGTGAACCCATTCTGGAAACACCACCTACAGAGTCAGGCCCTGAAACTCCCACTCATTCTCGCTGCACAAGTGTCTGCTAAAGGAGTCGGCCAGGGTGTTCTGAAACTCTGGCAGATGGACTGCTCAAGGTAATGTTCAGAGGTATGCACCCATTCCAGACATGCTTGCTGGTGTAACAGAGCACTGTTATGTTGTCTGACAGCACCTGGACCAACTGGCTCCAAATGCAAGGGAGGAAATGCTTGCAGGTCAGCCAAACCACCTTTCACCCTCCAGCACACTGATGTGGAAAATTCACCCCTGAGGGAACCACATCCCTTGGTCCATCTGCCCCTCCATGTGACCTCCTCTGCCTGACAGAGAGGTGTCTGTGGTCATAGTCCTAGTCAATAGCAGGTAACAGAACAGGACATCCAGGCACACACCTTTCTCCTGTCTTCACACCAGCCAAAGCAGTCTACAACCCTTCAGGGAATGGAGACTAGCAAGTTGAGACTGTGTGGACATCATCCATAGCCACGCCTGCAGGCACAAAGCGATTGTCTGGCAAATATGACACTGGATCTGGCGGCACCCCTATAGCCTGTGTCAGTTCCACAGTGAACTTGTCCAAGTTCACCCTGAGACCCAGTCTTTTGAACAGGCCCAGGAGTGTGACCAGACACCTGCGCCTCCTGGCAAGGTTGCCTCTTGAGGGGCCAATCGTTCAAGTGGAGATACACTACTGGCCCTACCGGGGATAGAGCACTGATACCACCACCAGCACCATGGTGAACACCCTCAGCGCCACTGAAAGTTCGAAAGGAAGTACCCAGTACAGGTAGGGCTGATGCACAGTGATAAACTTCAGGAATCTCCTGTGTGGTGGGTGGATGTTTATGTGGAAATAGAGATCGAAAGCCATGAACCAATCTCCAAGATCTAGTGAGGGAATAATTGAAACCAGGGTGACCATCCTGAACTTCAGACTGCATATAAACTTGTGCAGCTTCCTGAGGCCAAAGGTAGGTCTCCATTCCCCTACACCCCATCTTCTTGGGGACGAGGAAATACCTTGAATAGAAACTTTCCCTTTGCTGTCAGGGGCATTGGTTCTATCGCCCCTCATTGCAGGAGGGCCTCCACCTCCTGCTGAAGAACCCGCTTGTGAAAGTTGTCCATGAAAGAGGACGGAGAAGGGGGTTTGGGATTGGGGATGGACAAAAACTGGATGGTATATCCCAAGATGACCTCTAGTACCCACCTGTCTGTCGTGTCTCTCTCCAGATTGGTAGGTACTGTGGCAGCCACACTTCAAAATTTGAGGAAGAAACAGGGAAGGAGCCTAAATCCATTGGTCTGGTTGGTGCCTGGCTCTCAAGAGTCCCAACAAAATGCTGATTTGGGAGTCTGATGGACATGAAGGATGACTGCTCCTGGGCACTCCTCCTCTGCTTCATCTGGCACTTGCGGGGAAGTTCATACTGCCACTGGTGCTAAAACAGTGGCTTGGGTGGGCCTCTGCCTGAACTGTGGCTTGGTGGACTTGCGCTTCATAACAGGTGTGTAAATGCCAACCAAACTGAGCATGGCTCAGGAGTCCTTTAGTGAATGGTGGGACTCATCCATCCTTATGCTAAACAGTTTGTTCCATTCGAATGGAAGGTCCATCATCATTAATTGCATGTCCTTTTGGATCCCTGAAGAAGAGAGCCACAACTAATGTCTCACTGCCACTGCCATAGACATGGACCACGCCACAGTGTCTGCCACATTTAGGGCTGTCACAAGGGTGGATCTGGACACCAGCTTTCCCTCACTGATTAGGGCCTGAAATGGCTCCCTATTGTCCTGAAGTACCTTCTTGATGAATTTGATGAACCTATTGTAGATGTTGAAGTCATACTTGGCCATCAGTACCTGGCAGTTCAGAATCCAAAACTGTAGGGAAGGCGAAGAGTACTCTTCCCCCACCCCCGCAAATTCTATTAGCTGTCTTTTTGTGAGGCATAGAGCTGGCAGCTGTTGCCTACTGCACTACGTTGCTACTGTCACCACCAGCAAGCTAAGGGCCAGGTGGGGAAAAAAAGGTATTTTGACCCCTTTGTGGGCATGAAATCTCCCTCCTCTGCCCACTTGTACACCACAGGAATGGTGGCCGGCATCTGCCAGAGTGTCTTAATTGGCTCGAGGATGGCCTTGTTAATTGGCAGCTCCACCCTGCTTGGGCCCAAGCTGTACAGAATGTCCAGCAGTCTATGCAGAGCCGCCGGGACCTCTTCCAGAGAGATGTGCAGGGCCTCGACCCCCCTCTGAAGCAAGCCCTGGAAGACCTTGGGTCAACCAGGCACTGTGGAGAAGCTGGTATCACTGCTTCCTCTGGAAATAATATGGATAAGCTCACTGGTGCACTCTCCTCCTGCCCAGGCTGGTCCTCACCTTCTGAGGGTCTCTCTGTTCCAGGGAGCCTGTGGAGATTCTTCCTCCCACAGGAGAGATTTATCTCCCTGGGCTCCCAAGTCCCTCAGTGTGGGTACAAAATGCGATGGGTTTGTGGATCTTCCAGGCCTCACTACTGCCACTGTGGAGCCTCATACCCCATCGTAGCAGTCCCCAAGATGATGTGTACCAGTACATATAAGGTGAATATTCCCTGGGACGGGAGTACTGTGACACTCAGAGATTCCCGATGGCCTATCTGGTCTTAACCCTCACAAAAGTCACCTTGGGGAGTAGTTTGGGGACAGGCCTCCTGTTCCTGGTACCTCCAGAGTCAAAGGATTCTGAGTCTGAGTCCAATGGGGGATCTCTCAGTACCAGGAGGTGGCGATGCCCTGTCTCTATTAGTTGACAGTACTGGCAAAAGTCTGGCTTGACCCCAGCTCAGTGATGGGGTACAGGCTGGTATCGATTGGCATGTTGGTATAACTGGGTGGTCTCTGGACAGCAACAGCAATCCCAGGTCTTCTCACCCAAGTCTATCGGAGCCGATGGGGGATTGGGGAGTGGCAGGAGAGGCCTGGAACCAGCCAAAGCCACACTCCTACCTTCCTCGGGCCGACATACAGGGGGTCAGAGTCTGGAGCTGCCCTCATGGACCTATCCCTGAGAAACATCATGAGGCAGATCTCCCTTGACTGCCTCATCCTCTGTGGAAATGACCTACAAGTTCTGCACTTGGTAAGGATAAGGCCTTCCCCCAGGTGGTCCAAAAAGAGTCATGACTGTCATTTACTGGGAAGTCCCCCTGGCAGTCCACAAAGCTCTTGAAGCCTTTGGCATATTCTCCCTGCACCAGAGTGAAGCAAGGGGACAAGGGGGGGAGGGAAGAAGGGAGGATCACTGCCCTACACAAGGGGTGCCCAACAAGGGCACAAAATATACTAAGCTAAACTATTTACAGGTAAAGGCCGAAAGGATGCAGTGACCTGAGGCTCCATCCCAGACTCCAAGCAGCGAGAAGGAAGTGAGAGGGCAGCGGTCTGGTAGCCCCCTCTTCTCCTCGGTGCAGAGCACATGAATGAACTGAACAGACACTGCTAGGAGGAATTCTCTGGTCTCAGGCTCACGGAGCACATATACAACCTGAAGTGCACTCCAAAAAAAGAAAAGCACTCAAAAAGAAACCCCCAGTCATCTACCACTTTAGCTAATGGTAACGCTCTGTCGACTCTCAGCTTCATAAGAACTTTTGTGGCCTTTTCAATAGATAACCAGCCAATAAAGAGCACAATGGGACCCTCATCCCAGACTGGGGTCTCTAAGCACCCTCAATGCAAATAGTAAATAATAATTCCTGTCCAGTGGCAGGCATAAGGCTTAAAATGGGACCATATAGATTATTATTATACCTTATTAGCATGAGAGAAATAGCCCTTATACCCATGCCCCCTCAGACATGATACTATACCCACCCATCTCCCTTCATTTATTCTTGTACTCTTAAGAATAAGGGAACACAATGGACTTGATACTTGCTTCCACTTTTGCATAGTGCTTAATCTGTCTTGCTCCCTCCTGTATGCTCTACTCACACTTGCAATGGAGTACAGCAATTTTAGAGAAGTTGTTGCTGGCTCAAATCCTCCTTCTATAATATAAGGACATGTAAATTTTATTTGCTTCGGCAACTGAAACATACCTTTAAAATGTCTCTCTCCTTCATCCATGATGGAAAATAAATGCCCTGGCTGAATACCTGAAACAGCACAGCTCTTAATGCACAGTAGTTATCTCTTCTGACTTGTCGTATATATTTAATATGGTGTTTCCAAAACAGTTCTTCATAAGCCTAAAAAAAAGGCCAAAACAGCAGAGAACAATGTGTATCTTAAAACCTAGAATGAACCAATGAGACAAGTTCGCTTTGAGGCTAATTTCAACATGTCCTTAAGGGTCTATAAAAATTCTGTTTTTAGTGGAGTAATACTACTGATCTCAGTGGAGTTACTGCTGATGAACACTAGTACAAGGGAAAGCAGAAGTCCTAAAGACATTTTATTTCATTGTAGATGTATACACTTTCTACCAGTTTCAATATGTTTATACATGGTCTGGACATCGTACTTCTCCAATTTCCAAAATGATCTTTATGATCGTCTGTATGTATAATTCAATGCATATTTAAGTAATTTTTTATCCTCTCTCTCTAACTTGAAACTGATGTTTACCAGGTTATATGTTGTGAGCAGGAGACAGCAAACTGCTATGGCCAAAAAGGTTTGATATGGGGAATTTTTGTGGATTCACTGGTGCTGTCAGCCTAATACTAACAGTTCTAACCTTTGAGGAACATCTACTTTGCAGGCACTCAGAAGTGCTAGGAATTTGTTATCAAGGTGACTGAGAAAAAGATCACGACTTTTCTGTGCAGAACTTTATATGACAATGCCAGTATTTCAAAAAGAAAATTTGGATCCAGATGTTAGGTTCATACCAGATTGTTTTCTCTTCTAAAATTGTGTATCTAGCAATATACAGCAGATGGAGCCCTTCCATCGCAAAAATTATGCCACTGGATTACTAAATTGATTCTCTATCTGAAGGTAGCTGGCACAAAATGCAAAATGGCACAAAATAACCCCAATATTTATTTCATCTTCTGTGATCTCTGGAAAGTGCTTTCTTGTGTCTCTTTAGCCATTACTGATACTATTTATTCATTCACTATTCATTTGCTGAAGATTTTATTAAAAATTGGATCATACAACAGTAGCATAACTACTGTCAAGCAGTTTGCAGTGGAGCAAACTAATTCAACACATTGTGTCTAGTCTATTTTAAAAAGACAGGGAACTGGGATATAATCACAACTCTTCACATCAGTGGCAATTACTAGGCTAAATCCCCATGACCCACTGTGATGGCCAAATATGGTTTCTAATTTCTAAAAGCATTTGTGCTCATAAAACATGTTTGGCATCTTCACTGTATTATTTAAACCTAGAATTGACTATGCCAGCAAACTATAGGCCAGGATGAGACCACTGAAATTTCTGGCCTAATTCTTTGGTTGCCAGAAAAATAAAGGGACGATGAAGAATAATCATTTTAAACCCAAAATGCCTATTTTATGTTCCAGCATTCTGGAAAGCACAGTTATGTATTTAAAACAAAGACTCCCTTCCCTTCCAAACTGAATCAGCAGCAGTCCTAAGAACTGGCAGCATGCCAGTATTGCCAGGATTTTAGTTGCTAGGTTGTTGCCCCCACCACCACCTCTTTTCTAAATAGTGGGATGAGAGCGTCATTGCTACATTTCCAAAAGCAATGCTATTAATAGTCACATTCCCAGGTATACTTGTGCAAAAGGTCAAACAGCACAAGTTTTCCCTCAGTATCACTTCATTAAATATTAAATGCAGTCTTGTTGAAATTATAGGAAGTGCCTAGCTCAAACCCACACATTTCCTGAAAAAAGTCAGAGTTAAGGCATGTGAAACAATTCGTTACAGTAAGTAAACTCCACACACAAACCTTTGCAGAGTGAGTTAAGGATAGGGTGAGAAGTGTCAGTGCTGTGGGTTTTGGTTTTAACTACACTAAAGGTCACATTATCTTGGTGTTTTGTGTTTAATAGCCTTTTTTCTTCCTACAAGATAACATTAGAAATAATCACTTGTCATTAAACTGATTCCAGTTCTTCAGACTAGTACATTTTCAAAGAGGTTTTAATATATGGATTACAAAACAAATTGTAACAGCATTATGTCAAAACTCTTGGGGTGTAATCCAGAGATTTGGCTGTGTAATAAAACGATTATCTGAAATTTATTGCAGGTAGATTGTGTACATGTTGTTGTAGGCTACAACAACTTTCCTGTTTTCACTTTTTACAATAAAATAAAACCAGGTATAGGAGGAGCCATTGTGGGCCAGTAAAATATCATTGCCTCTCTTCCTTGATCAGTGGTTCAGTTTAAAGAAAGAACAAAAGAGAACTGGTGCCTCTTTCTTTTTGGTTTTGTAGCATCAGTCTGAGTGTGGTTTTGGGGGTAATTCAACATGTTGGCACTTGCTGCCAACATTGCTTGAGTCCCACTACAGTATTGCAGAAATTACTTCTCCCCACCATGTGCTGCTAGGACAGTTGTGGTGAGCTTAGGTGCCTGAGTATATACTCGGTTGCATTTTGTTTTCATTTCATTGAAACGATCAATTCATCTTTTGTATTAACTTAGTTTAGTTTCTTTGCAGTTAGAAATTGGAAGGTCTGTAACTACTATTCCTCCTACAAAGGGAGCGGGGGTGCTAGTGAATCAGGTCCATTGCTTCGAGGACTAAAGAAAAGTCTAGTCTGGCCAACCTGCACTCAAGATCAGGACCCAAAGTTGGGGAAAACAAAAGTTGCTATATGCCACCTCTGTGTTCCCCCAGAGGTACTGGGGAATTAGGTTGGTCCCCAGTGCAAATTAGATCTGCTCAGGGCTACTTTAACTTCAACCAGATGGCCTGAGGATACCAGAGTGCAGCTCTGCTCTGAGTATGCCTCCCAACACACCCCTACACCACAGGGTGGCCAGCTCTTCTAGCTCTATGGCAGCCATGAATTCCTCCATGACAAGGGAATGTCCAGCTGCACTGTTAGGCTAGCTCGTTGGCTCGTTTTTGCTGGCAGAGCAGTGCAAAGAGGATGCATCAATGCTGAGGATCTGGTCCACATTCTGAGTAATTCTTGCCTGTAAGGGTACATCTACACTGCAGCTGGAGGTGTAATGTCCAGTTCAGATAGATGTACACGTGCTCACTCAATCAAAGCTACTGTGTGTACATCTACCCTAGCTGGACATTATACCTCCTGTCTATATACAGAACTGTGTACCTAAGGAGAGCTTCCCCCCACCCCTTTTTGAAATTCATTTGATCTCACACAGCTCATAACATCTACTTACATCAAAATTGGATGGAATTTATTCTTTTTTTCAAACTCAATATTTTTTTCAAACTTTTTATATATAGATTCAACTTCTAAAAATTCTTACCGCCTTCATCTGCTTGGCCTGCTTGGTTTCTCCTTTCCATTCTCTTGCACAATAACCAAGCAGATCAACTTCTGCCAGTACACTGAGGTTCTCTAAACCAAATTTAATTCACAGATTAGTTAAACATCTACTTTTTTGCATTTAAAAAGGAGGAAAGTTATAATGCAGATTGGTAACAAAAAAGTTTACTTTTGAATTTTCTCTGCAGATATCTACTCCACCTGAAATCCAAATGATAAAACAGCTGTCAAAAAGAGTTTGCAGAAAGTAAATATTTAATGAAAGAACAAAGATACAATTGAAATGAAAGGCATCGTAGTAAAAACATACCATTTCAACAGCTGTGCTAAGTACGCATAGAGCCTTCTACAATACCAGAGAGCAGCAAGGAGAAAAGACATGACTAATATTAGTTGTCTCTTTATTTTTTGCCACACCATATGTAAGGATTGGTTGACAGCTGTTGTCCACGACTGCACTTCATTCCTTCCTGAAACAAAAATTAAAAAGTGAACAATATCTCACTGTTTCACACTACCTGTATACAACCCTTCTACTAATGACTTTATGTTGCTAAGCATTCAAAATGAGATTGGCTGAAAACCTATGAGATTTTTAGAAATGATAAATTTGGGCGCTCATTTTAGTTATCCTCTGCTTTCTGAACCGTTTGGGTGCATTTGAGTCATGCTTTAAAGCTTTTCTCTGCAACGAGGGCTAAAAACGTACTTTTTTAACGAAAGTTGAGATTCTCATCTAATCACATGATTCCGGGAGATGGTGTTTTAAGAAAAACAGCAAATATTGCAAGACTCACAATCAAACTGTGAGAGTTGGCAACACTGGAGACCAGCAATAGGGAAACCAAGATGTTTTGAAAGCTGATTGCTAGTTCTTGGGCATGTGCACCCATCACAATGTCCTGTTCTGAGGCCTGGCCCTTTAAGACCAAGGGAGTTGTACTCTCCAGATGGAGCACAAGATGGAGAATGATCAATTTAGCATCATGTGACTGGAAACCACATAAAGGAATACTCCTGGCTCAATATGGGGAAGATAAAGATTAATTTACGACCCTGAAGAAAGTTCCACCTTGACGATTTTGCAGGAGGTCTAGGGGGTTAGCCACAGGAAAGGCATGAACCCTTATTTTCCAGCTGGGAGAAAGCAGGACAGCTCTCACACTCTGTATTATTTTGAGGGTTTTTTTTTTAATCTTTTGTTAATAAAACCCACCCTGAAGAATAGGACATGAACTAAGTGGCTGTAGAGTGCTTTACTCTACCTTCCTTGACTGGTGAATTTGCTACTGGCTTAGGCTTAGTACATTCCTATAATTTATGATTAACTATTGCTCTACCAATAACTGCTTCAAGTATTAACATATTTGCACCATAGGATCAACATATCTGTAATAATGAACATTAACCAACCAACCAAAAAAAAAAGCAACAGGACATACCTTCCTTGCATTTTCATTTAGTACAATATTTTAAGCATCATCTGACTTTAAAAAAGGCTTCCCTGAATCATGAGGAATGGCCATTCACAGTTGAATCCATGAGCTGATTGCTTTCTTTCTATAGGCACCATGTGTTGGTCAGTGCCTTGCCTCTGCAATATGAATTGTGGGCCAGATCTTCAAACAATGTAAATCAGTGTAGCTTCCTTGACTTCAATGGACCTATGCTAATTTACACCAGCTGAGGTTCAGTCCCTCTGCCTTTAATTGTGAGTTTCCTTAATCTTTTGGGACTGATTTTTCCCAAAATGTGTATGAAGTTCAAATTCATTTTGCCTATTCACATACAGCTACCGTGAGTGCATGAATCATTCAGATGTATGCCCATGTAATCCTGGTAATTACATGCACAATTGTGCACAAGTTCTTAGGTGAGCTCTTGCACATATAAAGAATATTGATGCAATCATTCAAAAGCTTTGCTACAGGATATAACTTTTAGGCTGTGTGGAAACAAGGATCATGTCTAGAATCACGCACTGAAATGTTTTCTTCCAGTAGTTGTGAAGAAAAAGAAGCTAATGAGTTTTAAGGGGTTTGTTGACTGATTTAAAGTACTTCTCCTTCTGCCAATCCCACTTGGGCTGAGTACGCTAGCACCCAAAACTCAGACAGCAGGGGAATGAGAGAGGGGAATCAGCCCTGTTACATCAGCAGACCAATAGAAGCCACTACTCAATGAGGTGAGCAACCTTGATTTGTATTAACTTAATTGTACTAGATCAAGGAAATTTGCCAATGAACTTTTCATCTCACTTCAATGATTTAATACATACAGGGTACATGCAGCAACATACTTTGGCCTTGTGAATGTGCTTAATACATGAAGACAGACAAATATCCGATTACCTTTTATTCACAGTGCTATAGTAAACACCTGCTCACCTGACATGAAAGGGGGTTACTCCTGGAAGTGCTGCTTTTGAAGGGATAAAGAACAATTTTATAATATGCACTCCTAAAGTAGATCCAAAAATCAGTGTAACATTTTAAAACGCATTGTCTTCCAGGAGCTGCAGCAAACATTTATCACTGGCTACAACTATAACAAAACATTAGCTCTTTCAGTAAGGTCCAGAGATTTTGATTGTTGGGGAATATCCTATGGCATCTCTATTCATAGCATATGCACTGATTATCTATGGAAACAAATGGGGGTACTTTTAATAAACAATTTCAAAGCAGCTAAATTATGACTAATTGTATGAGGTTTACACATTGTTTGAGGGGGAAAATCCTGGGAGGTTAATAGAGTTACAGTGATTTATTTTATCCCTCCTCCATTTCTGTGGTGAAGGCATGATTTAAAAAAAATCAGCAAGTTTATAATATAAGCTTCTGTTAACTATACTAGCCCCTTGTAACAGTTTACAACTCTTGTTCATTACCTGGCACATTCGGTTGTCTAAGTTTTCCCACCATTGTACAAAGCAAACCCAATGCTGATCCAGCTTAAAATATCCACAGCAAATTAATCAAACATATTGGAACAAAAACAAGTGAAGATGCAAAGGAAAAAAACAACTTGTCAAGTCTTTTTTTGCATTATTTATGGTGGCCATATATATATATATATGTATGTATATATATAGACACACACACACGTACTACCCTCATTTGATTTTGATTGGGCAGAATGGGACTATTAAAAAGACTGAACTGGTATTTTTCCCCAAAGTAACATGTTTTGTAGAATAGTAGAAATACATTTGAGCAAATTCCTGACATCTAAGGTTTCTGTTCCAGTTCCATATTTTACGGGGAGGGTGGGGGGAGGACTCACATGAACTTTGCTAGTGTTGAAAAAGTCCTTTAATTTACATAAAACAGAATTTCTCAATAGCCTTACACTGTATTGAGAGATTCAGCAAAAAAGCAGTAGAGCCTCTTTTGAAATCCAGTGATACCCCACTTGTGGTACGTGTGTAATAACATAGCAATAAGTAACTTGGGTGTTCTTTCGGCCTGGTCTACACTACAAGGTTAGGTCAATGTAACCTGTCTTGCATCAACCTAGCTGTGGAAATGTCCTCACTTAAATTTGGCTCCCACAACCTTAAGTGCCTCTCTATGCCGATTTAGTAACACTGCCTCCCTGAGTGGCATACAGTCAATATTGATGTAGTTATGCTTATGTCGACTGTTATTGACTTTCAGGAGCTGTCCCACACTGACAAAACAATTGATACAAGCACTCCTGGTAAGGAGGCACAATGCTGACACAAAGAGCCAAGTGTGCACACACACAAGTGATTTAATAACTGCAGTGACTCTGTGCCGAAGTCAGGTTGACATAATTTTGAATTGCAGACATGGCCTAAGTAAGATATTGATGCTCTCCTATGGGAGGCTGGGAGGCACAAGGCTGTGTGCCTTCAATAAGAGAAGTTACTCCTGGGGGAATTCTGCACCACTGTGCATGTGCAGAATTCATGTCCCCTGCAGATTTTTTTTTCTCAGCAGAAAATACATTCTGCTGGAGAGGCACTGCAGTTACGCCTTTCACCCACCAGGGAATGCTGTGGCACCAGAACAGAGGGCAGCCAGCTCACTGGCCATATCAATCAATCAGCAGCTGATAGAGAGGAGAAGAGGCTGCGTTTCTCACAGAGCTCTGTCCGCGGGGCCAGGTCAGGAGGCATGGGATACAGGTGAGGGGGAGACAGAGTGGGGCACATGTGGCTGCTGGGTGGGTCACATAGACTGGGGTTCAGAAGGGCTAGTGGAGGGACTGACTGGGGCAGGGGATGAATGGGGGGGTGCAGTGCCACATGGAGATGAGGAGTGGCTGAGTGAGGGTGCAGGGACACATGAGGACAGGGGCAGATGTGCCTGACTGAATGGGAGAGGCTATGGGTCTGCATGGGAGAGGCTCCCCAACTCCCTAACAATCCCCTCACCCCACCAAAAAAAAAAGTTCCATACTTCTCCCAACAACCCTCCAGGTTCACTCCTGGGTTCCCAGCAATTATTTCCCTCTCCCTCAGCTCCTCCGTTACCCCTACTCCCCCCAGCCTTTGCACTGCTTCTGAGGGGTGCTGGAAATACATTTCTGTATTGTAGTTTTAAAGAATTATTACTCAGAGTTCTGTATTAATATGCCTAGTAAGGAATCTATTTGTTAAAAAACATTTCCTGAATTTCTTTTGTTGTCTGTTTTGTTACAGACATTTTGAAACTGGCATGATCCTATTGTGTTATTTTGACAAATAAAATATGCAGAATTGTACAGAATTTTAAAATATTGTGCTCAGAATTTTTAGGCACAGAATTATTATTTTTTTGGCAAAGAATTCCCCTAAGAGCAGAGAAGTGCACCACAGGAATGACTTAGGGATTGTCTAGACAAACAGCAAGCTGGGGTGTAATTCTACAGTGCATTAATATGCCGTGCACTTATGGTCCTTGCAGACCTTGCTACCGTGCATTAGAAGTTCCCTAATGCACACTGACTTACTCCTGTTTTGAAGCACACGAGGGAACTTTAGTGTGCAGTAGTAAGGTTCACACGGACAGTTAGTGTGCAACATACTAGTGTGCTGTAGATTGACACCCCAGTTTGCTGCACACTCACTGCTCATCTAGACTAGCCCTTATTCTGATTAGAACATCACTTATCCATTTACATGTTAGACTTAAGTTTTTAAATAAATGGCTATTGGAAACAGAGTTGTTGTTGCAAGGTCTCCAAGATAAAAATGTTATTGATACCAATTGTAAACTGGAATAACCCACCAATACCAAACTTCTCAAAACATACTATATATGGGATTCTGCCTCGAGGCGGGATTAGAGCTCAGCTGTTCCTCGCACCCAGTGCTGTGCTCACACCAAATCTCTTCTCCAAACCTGAGCGAAGACATCACTACAGTCAAGGTGAGGGCTGAATCTTCTGCAATCTCTGGAATAGGTACAACCCTCAGGCTTCTAACAAAACACTCATGAGGCCTTGGGATGCCCAAGGAACCTGGTGATCCTCCACCCAGACGGGTGAGCTGCATGAGACGCATCTGGGCGGACAGCAAATGGCAAAGTGAGAACCTTTAAGTTGTGACATATGGACTTTTCTATAAGACTGTCCACTGAGCAGGTTTGAAACCTGTGTATAAATAAAGGAGCCCTCAACAAGGGTGGCTTCTCACTGAGTGTTTGTGGAGTGATTGGTGGGACCTGCAGCAGCACATTCCTAGTGCAAGGGAGCACCTGGAGGCTTTGACCCCTCATAGAGCCAGAAAGGGAATACAAAGAAAACTACCATAAAACTGATAAGTGTCAGAACTCCCCACAGTGGCCATCATCTTCACAATCAACTCTGCTAGCACTAGAAAAATCTATAGACTATTGGGTTCTATTAGGCACTAAAAAATACCCTCCCCCCCACCAAGAACATAAAGAGGAGTGTGCCTGCAACTGTGTTTTACTGCTGGTGGGGAGTGAGAAGTGGATTCTTGTCAAAGTCCTCATCCGATCAGCCACAAAAAAATATTAGGTAGTGTCCTTTCCACGAACACAGCCGTCTTCTATTTATCTTTTTATACCACACACATCACTGTGATAACCAAGCACCTTCCAAAATTAAAAGTAGACTGGGTGACTTATGACTGAGTACACTTTTTTCTCCATTCCTCCACACAGTCTGTGTTTACTTTTTTGGCATTATTAAAAAAAAAAGCCTTTATGGCACACACAGGCAAACAAAGTCAGAAAACCAAGTTCTGTATTTTGATCAGAAAGTGTTGAGGTCTGTATATTTAGATCTTACACAATGTACATCAGATCCCTTCTAGTGGCTGCTACTGAGAGCACAATTATTCCTTTACATCAAATCATAGAGGTCTGGGCTCAGGATCTGAGGAGCCAGAGTTCAAACTTTGCTGACCACCAATGTTTGGTTGGGAATGAGGTGGTATCTTTATAGTTGCACAGTGCAGACCTCCTGTTTTTCCAGGTGAATTGAATAAACCATTTAAAAAAAACCACCCACAAAATTTCCTTGAAAAGAGGGTTGTATAGTATAAAACTATTTCTCTGACAATTATATGATCTGATGTGCACTGAAACACAAGTATTCCATCTTTTAGTCATTTTTCAGTCACTTGGATAAATTGTGTCACACATTGGCAGGTTTGAAGGTTGAGAGAGCTATGATAGCAAAGACCCTAGGGAAATGGGGGCCGTAGTATTTGAATACAGTCTGTAGCTTCAGTTCCCTTGGAACCAATAAGAAATAGCCATCTTTACTAGGGGCACATACCCCTCCTTACCCCCAGTGAGTATTTGCTTTCTTTACTGAAGACATGAGTAGTTTTCAGTCTCATTTTATGATATGGGAAGTGTTTGTTATAAGGGAAAACTGTTAACAATAAGAAAGTTAGGGAAAAATTAATAATTTTGCCTAATTATACCAAATTTCTTTATATGTACACGTGAGGACAGTTAAACTTCCATTCCAGCCATCTGAAACGTGAATGATAAACCAGTCATATGTTAGCAAAAAGGTTGCTAAAGAAGGTCAGATGCTGAATTTTTTTCAAGTCATATTTAATATATTTTAACTCAGACTCAGTAACTGATTTAGTTGAATCCCCAGAAAATTCATTTTTACCAACAGATAATGTGCTGTAAATTTTGAAAAGGTCATACAAAACAAAGAAGCTGAATCCCTGCTGCAAGTAAAAAACTAAACCCAGCCTTATTATAGACACAGTACTGCACGTTGGTAATATTACACGGGGCGTGGGCATGCACACACGCTTGTATAAATGCAGCTGAACTGAATTTAACCCTTCTGTTAAGAATAGAACAGAATTAGAAGAGTTATGTAATATTTATTATGTTGGTTGCCTGTTGCAATCCTGATACCAAGTACAGTAAATTACACCATTTGTATAAGGTTCAGAAAAATAGTGAAACATTTCCTATAATGCTTTATAGAACAAGAACCACCCTTCCCCCACACCTCAACACCACTATCGGGTCCCCAACTTCAGAAAAAAATAAAATAAAAGGTAAAATAAGCACAATTTTTCTTAATACCAAGGTTCTCCTCCCTTGGTGTTCACACCTCAACTGCTAGCAGAGCACCTCACCCTCCCTGATTGAACTAACCTCGTTATCTCCACACTGATATATACCTGCCTCTGGAGATTTCCATTACTTGCATCTGAAGAAGTGAGGTTCTTACCCACGAAAGCTTATGCTCCCAGTACTTCTGTTAGTCTCAAAGGTGCCACAGGACCCTCTGTTGCTTTTTACAGATTCAGACTAACACGGCTACCCCTCTGATGGTAAAAGTAGTGTTCAGTTTAAATTGTTCAAGTCTTGGCTTTTATATGGAAACAGGCATACACTTTGAGACTGAGACAAGAGTCAAAAGGTCACACAATATACAACAGTTTTTGCAGTATTTGGCCCAATACTTTCAGGAAATCCTTTGCTACTCAGCTGCCTTATATGAGTCAAAAATGTCTTTCCCTCTGGTTTCCAGAGGCCTTTTAGAAAAAATATAATTGTGAGGTAGCAGAGTAGCCTTTTCATTGTAAAAATACCCCAATCTCCCAAGCTGTCTAAAATTGTAGTGTTTAATACACTCCAGCTGCTGTTTGACATACTACCACCATATCTGTATCCAGGACCCTGTTTGTTGAGAATTTAAAGTATATTTTTGCTTGATTGCAAAAAGGATAACACATGTAATTATATTTTTCTTCTAGGGATTCCTACAAATGAGGGTAAATTTCAGTTCATGAATCCATTCGTATTCTAGTCTCCTTCCAGAATGGTACACCAGCAAAGACCAGTAACTGGCTCAAATCCACTTCCAATCAAGCAAGGAAAAAACACAAGAGAACGTTTCAGACACTAATAAGTGAACATCATTATGTACCACAGAAAATGTAAACCTTCTCTAAGCACTTACCCTTAGCAACTACTATAAATACATTCCTTTGTAAAACAAACAGAAAATCTTCCTGAAATTTCGGTCATTGCCATTATTATTTTATTTTACAGTAGAACCTCAAAGATATGAACACCAGAATTATGGACTTCCTGGTCAACCGGACACCCTGTGGAACCAGAAGTGACCAATCAGCCGGTTGCAGCCCCAGCACTCCCCTCGTAGCTAAACCCTGAGCCCCAGTGCCCCCCATCCGGCTGAAGCCGGTAATGGAGCCACGGGGGAGACCCAAGCCCCAGCAATTCTGCAGGGTCAAAGCCGGGAACGGAGCCATGGAGCTGAAGCCCCGAGCCCCAATGCTCCCCACAGGTCTAAAGCCCTGAGCCCTGGTACTCCCATGGGGCAGAAGCCCTGAGCCCCCCACCCAGAGCCCTGTGTCCCAAGGGTCAGAAGTCCTGACTCCCCGCCTCCCCACCGGCCAGAGCCCTGCCCCTCCCCCGCACGCCTCCTCCACCCCCCATGGCTGACATCCAGAACGTCTGTGTTGTTCAGAGTTATGGAACATTTCAGAGTTATGGACAACCTCCATTCCCGAGGTGTGCGTAACCCTGAGGTTCTACTGTAATTCATTAGGATAAGTCTCCTTCCCCATTCAGAGATGTTACACTCCAATTATATGCAAAGAAATAAGATTTATGTAAACTCCTATAAATCTATTATTTCAAGGAAGGTTATGATTTATAGAGGATCTATCTGTGGCTGAGGGTTATGGTGAGTCAGCCAGATGCTGCTCAGGGTTGTTTTGTCCAGTCTCTGCTTTCCAAAACATACAACTTTTGATGGCGGTGTGCTAAATCCAAATTGGCAGAGTAAAGGACTATTGAACCTATATTTTAATCCTGAATGCCTTCCTACACTTAATCTTAGCCAAAAGGCTGAGTAAT